GTCACATTTCGGGCAGGAGTTTTTGGCTGGTTTTGATGCTAAAACCAAGTGGAAACATTTTTGTGAACTGCAAACACGCGCATTAGCCTTGGCTCACCATCTAGCAATGGAGCCGACCAACGAGTTGGTGACTCTGAAACAAAGTCTTGCCGCGTCCGAGAGGGTCGTGCCGAGGCTGTTTCTGTGAACGAACAGGTGACAGCCAGGAACCGAGATCTAGCTGCCGAATTGGACCTGGTTAGGCACGACAACGATACGCTTCGTTTGGAGCTTCAAAAAGCCGCAAACAAAGAACGTCGCCGACTGGAGGAGGCACGATCTGAGTATGACAAGAAAGACCATAATTCAAATGTTAAAGCAATTTTCAACGGTTAAGTTACAAGGCTTTCATTCAATGAATATCTCTTAAAGCTTATAAATAAGAGAAGACTTGAAGAGAAGAGAAAACTTTGTGATATTATGAATAAACATTGATTTCTTGTTGTGCCAAAACCCAAACAAACTTTCTCTAAGTCTTATTGTAACCATCGTCTAGTGGACTAATAGTGAAAAAAACTTAAGCTAAAATATTATTGCTTAAGCAAGTCATACTTCTCTAAGTTTACTTAACCTACTTATCTTCCTTATGAGAGTTAAATAGAAAGTCAAACACTACCTACCATTGTAAGCATGAAAGGGATAATTAAAGAATATTGTAACAGGTTGTTGCGTCTATAAGTCAAAAGTGACAAATAATACTTGTTTGTAAAATGCTTCCAAGTTATTGAACTCTTTGATTTCGAAGGTAATTGGACATAACTTAGGTTGAGACAACTAATATAAAATCAAATTGTTTTTTTTTTTTGCTATCCTTTTTCCCTCACATTTATTGAATGAAGTGTTTTATGAACTTATATTGTACATTTGTGAAAAAGCTTTAAAATCTTCACACACATGATTCAACCCTCCCTTCTGTATGTTTCATTTATCTTTATAATTATCATACATACTTGATAATATTCTAAAATAAAAAGTTCTTGTATTCTATTTTAATTATTAGAATTTTCGAAATGTTACAAAGACTATCCTCAATCATAATCAGCTCAACTAGTAAGATCTTGACCATCTAATAGGATAACCATTAAATAACTAGTTGTATAAGATTGGAGACTTCTCATTGAACATCAATCGAATAATTTAATCAATCACTAACTATTCAAAACAAGCTCAATACAACATTATAAATAATTAGGTGTTATCATAAACAAGCTCAATACAACATTATAAATAATTAGGTGTTATCATAAACAAGCTCAATACAACATTATAAATAATTAGGTGTTATCATAATAGTTATTGACCTGTATTAATATATTAAAATTAAAAAATATTTCTTAATAAATGATTATTAATCAACAAAATAAATCTTAAAATCAAAGTTTTCCCCTCTTTTTTTTGTGACTTAAGGGTGTCTAACTATTTTGGAGAGCCAATAGAAGACTTAGATTCAAAATTTTGCTATTTGAGTAATATTTATAAGACTAAAGTTAAGATAGATAAATAACATATTAGTTTAAAGATTGATAAAGTTTTTTTTAGAGGTGGACAAACTAACATTTTTTTATTAATAAATGTCGATAATTAGTGAGTTATGTTAATTGGAATAATTCAAATTGCTCTCTTCTTATCACTCCAATCCTATGTCCCTCTCTCCATACCACCTAGACCACCTTATAATTTTTTTTTTTACATATATCACATACTAACCTAATATTAAATATAGTTGCAAAAAAATTTACAAAAATCAAAATAAAAAATAACTCATTTAAAAAAAACTAAACCTATAAAATATTATAACAACAACAATGATTATCCAACTTAATTACTCGTGTCTCGTGCATCTCCACCAACCCAACATCCACCACAACCACAGTGCTACATATGGATTTTAACTGAATTAACCACTAAAATTCACATAGAAAGTTATGCAGATTCAATTAGCACAGTAAACTAAGGGAAAAATCAAGTTGAATTAAGAGAGACACTTTAAGATATCAAAAAGTAAATTTTCTTATATTTAGGGGATTAAATTAAAGGAAAATAATAATAAAACAAGATCCAAAATAGTATTTTAATTTATTACCTTTCACTTTAAAGTTTGAAAAATAATTTAACATGTTTTATATTTTGGATTTAATTTTATGGATAACTCTAAGATGATATAAGAAGAATAAGAGAGGGTAGTTGAAGTTGTTGGCCTCACATAAAACATAGGATTTTTGCGAAAACTGCTCATACAACCAGCGGTTTTAAAAGCTCCATGGGTTTTGTTTTCCTTCTCCTGTTTTGTCCCCTTCATAACCTTTTTGTATTATTTATTTATTCTTTGGTCTTATGTCGACAAGTTGAAGAATGGCAAGTTCATATTTTGTATCTTTTTTTTATTATTAATCTTCAGGCTATGCTAATTAATCCTTCGAATACGACCATTTTTAGTCTTATATAAAAATGTATTTGTAATTAAATAACGTATCGAAGGCATGTTTGTAGGTTAAATAAGATAAAATGTAATATGAGAGTATGGTATGATAAAAATAACATAAATTTTAATTTAATTATGTTATTTTTTAACTTAACTTTTTAACAATGATAAAAAAAATATTAAATCAACAGACAATGGTGATTTTGAGTATGGATTGGAGTGATTGTCGAAAATTCCATTGTAAGAGGAGTACCAAAAAATTATTATTTTTTTAAATCAAAAAATTATTATTTAGTCTATATAAAATAAAAACTTACATAATTACATTATTAAAAATCTATTAGAAAAAATAAAATAATTATGAACAATTAGTCAATTTTTTCACTAATCAATAAAAATATACCAATAATTTTAAGAAATAATATTAGATATAAAGAGAAAAATGTGATATGTTATTGATTTTTTTTTTTCTTTTCTTAGTGTGAACTTTCATAATTGTTAACATAAAATTATAAATAAAATTGTATTTCATTTTTTTTCTATAAATAATTAGGTGTTATCATAAACAAGCTCAATACAACATTATAAATAATTAGGTGTTATCATAATAGTTATTGACCTGTATTAATATATTAAAATTAAAAAATATTTCTTAATGTGTTTATACATGCACATTTTAATAATGTATGAAAAGTGAGAATCTTTTAATGTCATAAATGAGCACTTCAAACTTAAGTCATTCAACCATATAAATGATAGAATTTAGATGTCAATTAATTAATATTCATAGAGGTATGTGTCTATTACCATTATAGTATGTGTTGTCGTCATAATTTTCTTTATTTTGACTATCCACGTTTCTGTTATTATAATCCCATCCCCTTTTCCCCTCTCTCAAAAAAA